TTACCACTTTTCCCAATATTTCAGGTGGGGAGCTGCGTCAGCGTAGGCTGCAAAGGAACGAGTGAGAGGTTTATTCCCCGCTGAAAAGAGAAGAAAGAAAACAACGTTTCGGCTCTGGAGCCTTGCTGCGGTATGAGTGATGAAGGCTCCACGGCCGAAACGTTGTGTTTTCTTCCTTCTCTTTTCAGCGGGGAATAAACCTCTCACTCGTTCCTTCCCCCCTACGATATTGTCTACAGGCATAAAGGATTTGTTAGCCCATCCACTAAATAAAAGCAAGTAATCACACGTAACTAAATATAGACCCATAGCTGTATCGGCGAATTCGGGTCAGTGCACGTCTGCGTCACTGTAGCTCGGAGAAGGGTAGTTCGCCGATTTATTAAGTAAAATACTGGTAGCGAAACGGATTTGTTCGCGACATAACCCCAGCAAGCGGCACACGACACAATAAATTAACTAACTGTAAGTGAAAATGGTTAATTCCTCACACGTCGAAATGATTTTTACGCAGGGCTACGAAATTAAAGTCCTGCCTATGAATACCTTACACACCACGCATACAATGCCTGACTTTAACGAAACGAAATACAATGTTTGTGATTATTACGTACAGTACCATTGGGCTATGAACCTACAATATTTCAATAAAATAATATCAAAGTATTTCCGTGAAAACTGGATCTTCAGTTTATATCCAGTCACCTACGTTGGTCAGATGTTTTTGCCCTGCTGAACCGTTTCTTAAGTAAATTAAGACTCCCAAGGAACCGTAAGAGCACCTGAGGAAGAAACGTTTCTTCGAAATCGATCTCACAGGCTCTGCTGAAGTGATGAAGGCGTTTAATTACCAGACGTTGTCGACGATTTGAGGTTTTTGAATTAAGACCCACGACCGGCGGGAACTTCGGCCGGACTGACACGCCTCACCCGCCGGGCCCTCGTGCTGTTGTTTTCCTGCTTGCAGATTGGCGCAGGCGGCCAGTCAATCAGTATGTTCAGTTGGTCTGATAGGGCACCGGGGGCACATCCCCCCGCCCTCGGCCGGCCCACTCCTAACGACGATTGGAGAGATCTGCTGTCCATCAAAGAGCTTACTCCCCCCCCCCCCACACACACACGAGGAGCCCAGCAGTACCTCGCGTGTCCGTTTGTAAGGCTTTGTGCAAGGTAATTTTTACATTTAAGAAGAAAACCTTAAGAATTTTTTAAAACACTTTTATTCCAGCATGCCCGCACCCAACACTACATACAACAAAACCGATGCTTATACAACATAAACGGTTTGCACCCCGATTCTCGCTCTGGATGGAGATGGAGTCATCCGGCTCCTTTTAAAAACCGACAAACCAGCAGAGAACAGAAGAGAGCGACATCATCGAGAATGACTCCCGACCACCCAGGAGCACAGCTTAGAAACGGGAGGAGGCCATTCACCCCACCTCGTCTGTTTGGCAGCTAAACTGATCCCAGCCTCTCACCCAGCTGCTTCCTGAAAGAGGACACGGTATGGTCTTCACCCACTTGTTCCACGCTCCCACCCATCTCTATGTAAAGATCACTTGCTTGATATCTACAGTAGCAGCTTCGAATTGTGTCGCTGCCAGCTGCAATTCTGCACAATAAATAAAAAAACGCCAAGAACTCACAGATCTTCGACATTCCACTTTTTAATTCCTGTACAGCAGACTCGTACACATGGGCATGGGCAGCCCATCCAGGGACAAGAGGGAAAGGGAGTCCGGTCGCAGAGTCCCAGACTCCCCTCCCCTCCATATTTCACACGGAAGTAGACGGGTCCCCCAGACCGCCGGGGGTGGGGTGGGGGGATAGGGACAGTGACCGTGTATGAAACAGGGCTGGCCAGGGGCGGCGTGTCCACACCGGGGCTGCGACAGTCAGAGAGGCGCGGATATTCACGCCGGGACTTGACCAGCGCCTCCCGCGGCCCGCTCATTGACAACAGGGGGCGCCAGAGACACCTGGACAACAGAGCCAGACCCTCGAGAGGAGACAGGACAGTGCAGGCGCGATGTGAAGGAACAGGACGTTACCGACGCTCGCGTTTCAGATCTCTCAGGGCTACAGATTCACGAGAGGGTTTTTTCCTCACGGTGATCAAACATTTGAAGCGATCAGCTTATACTGGACTTTGTTTTGTATCCCATTGCCGACGCTGTTATCCAGGGGCTCTGCTGTCCAGCTGCTGGGTGACAGTCTGGTCAAAACTGAGCCCAGTCCGGTTCATTTCTCAGCCCAGTCCTGCCCAACGCCCCGGGCCCCAGGTGACGGGCCGGGCTCATGGAGGCATCGCCAGCAGAGCCCAGCCCGTCCTGAACCGGAACCAGCCCGAACACGGCACAGCCCCGCGTGGACGTGATGCAGTCTCCTCCTGGCCTCTCCGATCCCAGCTGCTCCCACGACCCGCGTGTAAAAACACTACAGTAAAACCACAGTGGGCGGGACGGGGGGGGGACGGGGTGAGTCTCTGCGGGCCGCTCCGGGGAGTCTGGGAATCGGGCAGCGCTGCAGGGGCTGCTGGGAAGGGAGGGGGCGGGGCGTCTTCTTCCTCTCTCCGGTGCCGCCCCCCTCCCGCCCCCTCCCCGCGTCTCCTCGGCTCCGGAGAGGATCGGACGCGGTTCCGGGTTCCAGGTCACATCTTGCCTGGAGCAGGAGCCATCATCCCTGGCATCCCCCCTGACATGCCCGTGTTTGGTCCCAGCAGGATCTGCAAAAAAAAAAAAAATTAAAACCAGTTGAAACACATCCGCCCTCCTCTCAGGACATTACAGGGTGGTGGGGGTGGGGAACAAGCCGCCCAGCCATGTTCCTGATTCCAATTAACTGGTTCCTCTCAGGACAAAGCTGGATGAGATCCTCCAGTCAGGACAGGGGACTCTTCTTTACACAGAGGGTGGTGGGGGTGGGGAACAACTGCCCAGCAGCTTTGGTGAAGCCGATACCCTGGCTTCTCTCAAGACAAAGTTGGATGAGATCCTCTAGCCAGCACAGGAGGCACTGCTGTACACAAAGGGTGGTGGGAGAGTGGAACTGCCCAAAGAGTGGAAGAAGCTGCCCAGAAATGTTGTGGCTCCTTTCTAGACCCCCTGCCCCAGATCCTCCCACCCAGGTGTCATCCTTTCACTGTCAGGCCTTTGTCATTGTGCCCCACCCCCCTTTCCCAGCATGCACAGCGCCGCCCCCTACCTGTCTCTGCTGCTGCAGCTGCTGCTGCTCCAGCTGCAGCCTCTCGGTCTCGAAGACGACGGGCAGGACCAGGATCATGAAGGAGGTGGTGCCGATCCAGAGCGCCGAGCGCGTGAAGCTGGGGGGGGGAATCAACACCAGACAAGGTTAATGGGGATCAAAGCAGAGAGAGAGAGAGACGCCATGGCCTGATGACTCGAACCCCGGGCCGCCAGGACCACAGGGCCCTGCATGCGTGTTGGTCTGCTCAGACTCAGATGCCATCCTTCTGATGAGACGTAAAACTAAGTCTCGGTGGTCATTAAAAATGTATTGACAAGAGTAGGGGTGTCACCCCAGTGTCCTGGCCAAAATTCCCCCCTGACCTTTACCCATCATGGCCTCCTAATAACCCCCCTCTCTGAACTGGCTCCATCACTCTGCTCCCCTCCCCACTGAGAGCTGGTGTGTGGGGAGCAGACTGGAGCATCATCCAGGTGGGGTACACACTGGTGGGGGTGGAGGGGATCCCCATGACCTGTACAGCGCTGTGAGTGGGGTGTGCAGAAGAGTGCTATGTAAGTGTGAGGAAGTATGAATTATTCTTCTCAATTCTAAATGTACTTTCCCTTAGTGCCTACTTGTGTCCTCTGGTTCGTCTGTCACTGCGGACTCTGCTCAAGCCCGCCGGCACTTCCGAGTCTCCTGCACCGAGGTGCCGCGCCTCCCTCCCCCCCAGGCCCGCACGCACGTCGGCCCGGCTTACCTGTAGAGCTTTTTGGTCAGGGAGAGGGAGCAGTCGAGGGTCACGCCCGTCGCCGAGCGCACCCCATCGGGGAACATCTCCGTCAGCCCCCACAGCCGCTCCGCCAGGGTCTCGTCCAGCTGCACAACGGGAGGAGGCCGGAGAGACTTGAGCCATCGCAGCCCGGAGACAGCGCACACATCCCCCGGCTGCTACACCCCTCCACCCCGCAACACTGGCCCGGACTGAACCACAGGCGCACCCCCAATGCGTAATGGACAATCAGGACTAATTCAATTCAACCGGCTGGGATCGCAGACTCGCCCCCAATCTCTCGACGGGAACAATAACATGACCGCTTTCACCGTGACCGAAACGGACATCGACGAGAGAGACTACCGGGCGCTGGTGATGATTTGCGCAGGGATTTCAACAGAATAAAGGAGGTCTTCACCCCGAGGACGCCATCGATAACCTCTATGGGTTATCAGGGCACCACCACGCCTCTCGGCACCGCGGTGGAGGGAGAGGAGTCGCAGCACCGGACTGTGCGGCCGCAGGGCCGAGACACGGACCTCAGACCCGAGACACGGACCTCAGACCCTGCCGGCCGTGCGGAGGGGCAGCGCGATCATCGCAGGCTGGTGTGTGTGGGGGGGGACCGGGGGACCGGGGGACAGCCACACCGATAACACAGCTAACGCTCAATGAGCCCGGCTCCCCGCGGCAGCATCGCGCCAGCTCACAGCGTGAGGCTCCTGCCGGGGCAACGTTTCGCCCCCGCCTCCACCGCGCCCGCCGGACGAGAGAAAAGAGGTGGACATATCCTGTAGTCCGGAGTGGCTACCTCCTCGTCCTCCTCGTCTCCCTCGATCTCGTCTTCCGGCGGCCTGGTCTCCACGGGGCCCGACGCGGGAGACAGCTTCTCGATCCCAGCCATTCGCCCAGGCGGAGTGTCAGCGGGTAACGTCGAGCTTGTTCGGGAAGATCAAATAATAAAGTCGGACAAAAAAAAAAAAGAAGGAAATCCCCCGTTTTCCACCGGCCTGGCCGTGAGTGAGGTTGAAGCCGGCGCGCCGCGCGTCTCGCTCTGCGGTGTGCCCGAGGTCACTCAGGGGTCACGGGCCGCGCTGCACCACGGGAACGCGGAGGACTCTCCTCCAAGACAAGTGTCCGGAAGTTGATCGCTTGTGGGGGGAGGGACATAAAGTCATAGCGCCATCTTGCGACGGAAAGTCTCCTCGAGACTGTCTGGGTCTGCTTTATTAAACAGTTCCTACAATAATATTATTAATAATTCTGGACACTCCATTCACAGCGCTCTACAGGTCATGGGGATCCCCTCCAGCCCCACCTGGATGATGCTCCAGTACTCTCCCCACACACCAGCTCTCAGCGGAGAGGAGATAAACCTTCCTCTGCGTAAAAAACAAAATGTTGTAGAGCTGTTGTAGAGCTGTAGAGTAAAAATCTTAAGACTTTTTTTATTTTCAGAGATGGAGAACATCTTTTTAAATTGCTAAGAACTTAGATCTGCACAATAAAAGAGGTCAAAATAACTCGTTTTTTTATTAAAACATTAAAATACAAATGTTTAATAGTGCGAAACAGGAAATGTGTACACGTCTACAGATATTTTGTAATACGTGCTTCAGTAGCTGCAGTTCAGCTGCTTTCGGTTGATAATCACTGTGAACCAAGAGATTCCCTTTGTTGCGGTACAGAAAGGTAAAGGTCGTCGGCGATGTTTTATATATTTACAGATTTACAATAACAAATACAAACGACCTGAAATGAGTAAAGGAAACCAAAACAAAAGTTCACTTCTCTAAAAGCCCTTATCCGTAAATGCACGTCCGTCCCTGCTCTGGAGATGATGTCTTCATGACCTTCCTTTAAATTTGTGTGTCATCTCATCAGCATAACAACAAAGACATTTCAAAAACTTAGTTTCAAATGAGGAAAAATATCACAATTCCTTTAGAATTCCTTTTATTTGTTCAGGATACAGTAAAGGTCACTAGATATAATATAAGCTGGAATCCTCAAATTTAATTTTCTTGTCATTTTTTTTAATATACTTAATTATATAATTGTTTAGCTGAACGTAGTGATACAGAAACACATGCAGTAAAGCAATTGCTTTCAAATTCACCGATCACAGGTTCATGGGCACCAGTGACACGGCCTTTCCCTTGCTATGCCATAATGCAGCACAAATTACTCTATAATGAACAGAAGGAGAGGTGAGTTCAGCACTAAATGATCATTTGTTTTTTGCATAGTTGTCTGTCTGAACTTCCTCTGTCCTAATACACTTTAGAGTTGCTGAAAAAGAAAGCAGAATTAATTTCCTTTTCTCGGTTCAGATACAGCAAAGGAAAAAAGATCAGCAAATACAATATAGCCTGAGAGACCAGGACTGATACTGCCTGTGTGACACAATGCATACTGCATATATGATTATTTTATATAGTATATAGAAGGAAATACCAAATCAAAAACAGTTTGATGGCATCACAAAATATCCAGAAAATTAACACTTTAAATAGACATTAACCATGCTGATAGTGGTCGATTTGTTTTATTGCTAATCATTTAGATTTTGTTGCGTTGTGCATTCCAGCAAAAAAGAAAAAATCAGCTTTATGAATTTCACCCGAGTCTCTTCACTGGAATTGTAATAATAAGTGCAAAAACAGTGAGGGACAGTGTGTGCTCTGTAAAAGCATGTACCACTGTGTCTGTGGTGTGTACAGTGTGGTGTTGT